GCATTTTTTCAACGCAGTATTGAGATCCAAAGATCCGAACTTGCGCCTAACCTATTACTTATGTTTTCACTAGTACGAACGATTGCACATTAAAAATTGAATCATCTTATTTTTAAATTTCTGAAAATCCAAAGCTTGAGCCCAACCTGCCAACCTAAGGGTTGGGCGTTATTTCAAGCAATAATTTGTTCTTTTTGGTTAGCAGCCCTGTTATAAGCTTATATTTTTAGCAAGATCAAATACATGGGCTATGCCTATATGGACAGGCTCATCTATTGGCCTGGATTAAAGACGCCCACGTTTCCAGTTAGCGCCTCATCAAATGCTTAATTCTTGGACTTGGAAAATTGCTTAACTTTCGGTTTGCCTGCTTTTGCTTTTATCTGCGCTATTCAAAAGGCTTCGGGCAATTTAGCAATTATAAAATGATTAATTTTTGTGCATTTTCTCAACACCTTCCACTTAGCGTCGCACTGTGACTGGGGACGCTGGGGTAGCTGGGGTAGGTTGGGCAGCTAGGTTCGGACCCTGGGCCAGGCGTTAAAGCGCAACTACTGTCGATTTAAGTGCCGTTGGGCCCATTGCTGTGTGCAGGGTATCATTAGGCCGGGCAAAACAATTTAAAATAACTGCTGCAACTAGCATAATAATATTAAGAAGCGACTGCCAGGCATTGCTCCCTGCCATAGACAATTTTCATAATGGCCAGAAATAAATCTGCGAGCAGCAGACGTCCCAACTCTGGGAACCCTGAATGCGCCTGGCACAACTTAATTAATAAACTAATGAGCAGTTTGCAGGCAGCCAAACGAGGTCCATTCTCAGCCCGGGCACAGCCCCCGTAACCATCTGAGCGAGAGATTATCTACATGACCGCACTCAACGGGGCCCGTGTGCTGCCCAGCCTATTTGCAAAAGATCAGTAAGAAATTAAAATAAATTGTGCAACGTGCAAATATGCCAAAGATCCCTGAAAACTAAAGCCGCAAACGTGTTGTGCAATCAAAAACAAAAACAAAAACCCAAAAAAAAGAAAAATAAAGCAAAATGTTTGATTTATGCAAAAATGAATTCGGAAATATCTCGCCATTCTACGTGACCGTAAAGCCACACTCGAAATACCTATAGAAACACTATATATGCATCTATATATATTAAATAAATATATATCAGTTGGAGCTGACGTCAGCTAGCAGCTCTATCCATAGATGAGGTACTAGAGATTAGAGTTCGAATGCATATGTCTTGTTGATTCCAAAAATATTTTTATTCAAATCTGAGGGTTCAACTAGCTCAACGGTAAATCAGCAGACTCACAAATTAAAAGTTTAACATTTGATCAAACTGACAAATGAAAGTTAAGAGACGCAAAATAGAAGCAAGAAATAATTTTATTTGTGCTCCACTGATTCCTATCAATTACTCAAATATTTCTGCGCTCTTATTGCCGAATATGAGAAACATTTGTTGAATTGATGAACATGATCATAACCATAATCTTATCAAATCATAATCTTATTAGTTAAGAGTGATGAGTCAAAGCAAATTTACTTTACTATATAATTTTTTGTTTTTGTATTGATCAATGACTTTTGTTTTATTATGAAGAACAATTCAAAGAACATGTTTTATCCTTTTAAGGTCTGATTAAATATTTATCTAATTTTTTAAAATTGGCATATACCAATAGTGCAGAATCAATGTCAAATAAACAACCTACTGAATCACTTGCTACTTCAGAATCAAATCTTCGAAAAAAAGCTTTCGATGGTGGATGTTTTGAGAGGTTTGCAAATCAATCGTCCCCAAAACTCTCGAGATACCTTACCCGTATATTAGCTACACTGGTAACTTTATATTTGTGGAATGACAATAAAAAACAAAAAAGAGCTGCTATCTTTCGTACGCCGAAGATTAAATACCTTTGTACACATATGACAGACGGTCTTTCAGTGATGCGAGGAGAATTGAGTGAGCTAAGTGTGGTGACGACATTGTCGAAACAGAAAGCAAAACTTCCTGTAAAACTAGCTATATGACATAGTAGTCAAATTTTGAGATGTTGCTCATATTAAGTCAAGATATATTAAAAAGCAAAAAAAAAAAAATTTTTTTTGACAAGTACTGAATTTTAAGCAGATTGTTCGCGTGGCAGCCATATAATATAGATCCGGCATATATACTGTCTGTAACAAAAGACTAACCTATGCAAAGTTTAATGATGACGGCTTAAATACAGAGAGACTTGTTTGCACAGAAACAGAAATACTGTTGATACTGACGGGGTCGGAGATGTTTCTTTAACATTTCATGACAAAATTTTAAAATCCCGTATAAGGGTATACCTACAAACGTTGCTTAAAGATTAATAGCATAGTCTACTATGGCTATGTGACCTTATGTATGAAGTTTGTTTAAAAATATAAACAGTCGTAAGACATGAAGATTTGAAGATTTTAGCGCAAGCATATATGACTAAGCCTGGAATATTCCTAAGTACGACGTCTAATACAATCATAAAGAACAATTAAATAAGTATTTTAACGCTCTAGCCTCTGTCTAAACGTGTCATAAATTACAAAAAATTCTTAAAAGCGTGTTTTACAGCTGAGCCATTTAAATCAGAAAGTGTTTTCTGATTGATTTTCAACTTGCTGCCTTGTATGAAATTCTCATCTGTAAATTTCCCTATTATTGCTGAGATGAGATTCCAAACTTTAATGGTGGGCACTCAAGATACTCTAGGCGCTTCTAGTTAAAGATTCATCATATAAAAGAGAAACAAAAAGAAAAAAAAAATTAAGAGTTAACAATGCCAAAGTGCTGTAGGCTTTCGCGGGAAAGGTAAATCATATTGTTTTCACTCTCAGATGGTGCGCGGGCTGCCGCAGTTTAATTATCACAATTCCAGATGCGGTGCATGTAGCTGAGGCTTGAACAGCTCATAAATTGTGCGGCGAACAAGTTGAGGCTGACGGCGACTGTTGCCGCTGCTGAGTCGCAAAAGAAAATAGCACAACACAGCACAAAATAAGAAATATTTATTGCAACTTGTAAATTGAAAATCGTCTTAGTTTTGGTTTCGACTGTTGCCAGGGCCACGACGTAGAACATGGCTAGGAAACTATTCAAATCAATGAAAACTGATAGCCTCGAAGGCAAGAGCCAAGTCATGATTAACATAGGCTACGGCCCTAAGTAGTACTCACTCGGATGCTTCGCCAAAGATGGCACCGGCATAGGCACCGGCTACGTCCGTGTCCGGGTACGGGCCCGAACGTGTAGCTTTTAAGCGACATGCCAACACTTGAGCACTTGACCATGCAACTGCTGCGTCTGCTGCTGCTGCTGCTGCTCCTCCTCCTTTAGCTGCGGCTGCTGCTCCTGCTGCAAACGTATCATTAACAAGTCACGACAAATTCGCGGTCAGACATTTGAAAAGCCAATGCCAAATTTGGTGAGGACAACGCCGACAGTTGGCCCAGCATTGGCATTAGATAAACTCCAACTTCAAGTACAACTCCAACTGTAGCTCTCTCTATCGCGCTCTCTCCCTCGCTACCTCCACCTCGCAGTGTTCCTTGCCGAGTGCCAAGTGCCAAGTACATGGACAGGTTGGCTGGCACTGGCAACTGGTGACTGCCGGCGGCTGCTTTGAACAGACCACCGCCAGTTTAGAGGTGTGAAAAATCTAAAATGCAAACACGCCACGAGTTCCACAATATCTCTGCTGCTCGAGCTGCACTCCATTTGTAGTTGCTCCCCTGGGCGCTGCCAAAATAAAAAAAAAAATAAATAAAAAATAAGTAAAAAGAAAGAACAAGAAATCAAACCCCGGCGTTGCCAGGCGGTGGGGTTGCATCCAGCTACGATTCTCATACGCATGAATTATTTATTTCGATTGTCTGCGCGCTTTTGCTTGCATTATTTTTAGTGGCCATAAAGAGGCACTGAATTTATGTGGCGAGCGGGGCCCGAGGTAGCCGATCGCTCAAATTATCGCAGGAGCATGCAAAATTTATTAACAAACATAAAAATTGCTCGGGAATTTATTTCATCTTAATTCAATTTAACAACTTAAACAGCCATAAAGTGTTCACATAGTAAATCAATGCAACGTCCTATGCAGAATTCCCCCTGTCTACATGCATCTGCATCATCATCATCATCATGATCTTTGGGGCTGGGGCTGGAGCTGGTGCTGCAGCTAGGGCTGAAGCTAGGCCAGCGGTAGTTGTTGCTGCTGCTCCTTGTGCCCCGTAAATTTATGAGCTGTGCATGAAAATGAGTCAAAACAAATTATGCTGCGACTGCTGCGGCTGATTGACAGCGTTCCTTGGGAGCAGCAGACGCCGCTCTAAATGGAGAAACCATCCAGCGATTATGATGTGAACGTTGCGCTGCCATCAGATTTCCATCAGAGACCCCAACAATTTCGAGGCATTAATCATCCCGCTAAATATGAGGGTGGGTCAATAATTCAACTTCAAAAGCCAAAAGCTACTCTCACTCTCTGATAAGCATCATTTATGTACGAACTGTTTTCTATAATATCCATTTGACAGCCATAAAAACTAACCCCAAAATACCCCGAGGGATATGTGCGATTATGCCTACCTATAACGAAGCACGCCTTTTACATATGTGGCATAGTTTCATGCGTACATACATATTCGGATTAGAACTGGGATTATTATTCAATGCGAATATTTCTTGAAAATATTTTGTTCATATTTTATGTGTAGATTGAAAAAGAATTTAAAATAAGTTATAAGGGCTCTTACTAGACTGTTCTTTCGGAAAATTTCAAATGCATAAACATTTTGCCTGATTTTCAAGCCAGCTTTACTTTAAATATGAAATTTTGAATTTGAATGTTAATGTTGAATTTTCGTGTAAATATTTTATTCGTAGATGAGATTATGAAATAATTTAAAATAATTTAAGTGTTCGACAAATGAGTGAAGTTTGAGGGCAGCAGAATGGTTGTCTGTGAAATCTTAGTTCTGACAGTAGCAGCCATCGGCGGTGTTCTTCTTGACCCAGTCGACGAATTTGCTAACTCTGGCATAGACGCCGGGTGCGTTTGGCTGGGCACAGCCAAATCCAAAGGACACAACGCCGGCGAGCTTGTAACGGCCCTCGTTGACAATCAGCGGACCTCCGCTGTCGCCCTGGCAGGCATCCTTGCCGCCAGACTTGACCAGGCCAGCGCAGAGCATAACCTCTTGAATCTTGTCCTTGTAGCGGGTGGTGCGGCACTGCTGGTTGGTGATGATGGGCACGCTCACCTCTTGCAAATAGTTGCTGGTGGTGCCGCCCTCCTTGACCAGACCCCAGCCAGCCACGACAGCCTTAACGTGAGAGTAGGGTGGGGTAAGCGCCAATATGAACGACTCAAGCTACCAACTTACAGTTTTGCCATCAAAGTTGTGATTGACATCGGGAAGACAAACGGGACGCATGTTGCCAGTAAGTGGCACGGGTGCCTCAAGCTTTAGCAGCGCCACATCATTGACAATGCGGTTGGGATCGTAGTTGGGATGTATTGTGGTCTGCACCACCTTGCGCACAATGCCAGGATCGCCCGAGGATCTGTCCAGCTGCAGCAGCCGCACGGTAATCTGATCCCTGTTGCCGTGCACACAGTGAGCCGCTGTGAGGACATAGCGATCGTTGATCAGCGAGCCGCCACAGAAGAGACGCGCATAATAGCGGCCCTTGACCAGCTGGGCGGTCCATGGATATTTGTTGGTGCGCACCTGCTGGCCGCCCACAATGCGGTTGACATTCGGAGTGCCGCAGACTGTGCAAAAGTGAGCGGATATAGAGGTAGCGAGATATTACTGGACGAGTTAACTTCAGGATAAATTCCGGCTACTCACAGCAATTTGTCTTCGTGGTGCACTGGCCGCCGCGGTTGCCGCGCGGAGGACGTGCTCGAACATCGTTGAGTGGCAGCACCGGCTGCTCCACTAGATCCACGACATCGCCAAACTGTTGATTGAGTGTTTGCTGTGGCGCCAAGTATTCATATTGAGCCAGCGCAAGGCTGCAGCCCAGCAGCAGCGCTGCCAGGGCCAGATAACAACGCATCTTGACTGGAGTTGGTTCGGGTGGCAAGTGACGACGCTGTTTGAACAGCGCGTGCTACTTATACAGCAACGGCAGCTCTTTCAATTTTTGATATTTTTTTTTACTAATAAAATTAAAAATATGAATGTTTTATTGCTTGTTTAAACAGTTGGAAGATCGCGACTTGTATCTTTCTTTCATTCGCGTTTTCTTTCTCCGCTTTCTTTGTTTGCTTTCAGGTTTATTTGCATAACACTTTGAGAGTTGCTCGCAGCCAGAACCCAAATGACAAATAAACTTTTAAAATGTTATTGTTAATATACCCTTTACCACGTTAATTGGGCTGCATGGTTGTGTGCATAGAAGAGTGAGAGATATTATTGGTAAGTTTTGTGTCGATCTAGCCATGTCGGAGACTAGAAATTTTCATACATAGATCCTCCTGTGTGAGGTGGCGCACAGATTAAGTTGATTTCAAAAACTCGATTACTCCCTCTGTTCCTTAGTCGATAAGAAGCGATTTTCAGATAATAATACAGAAGTTAAAAATACAAAATCTGTCTCGTAATATATACACAGATCCATAATATTTTACATATTGGATATACTGCCGTTCCTTTTAAAATTGAAAGAATTATTTTATAATGCCATATAATAGTATAAGCACACACAAATTTTGCCATGTTTATCCCCTGAAAACCTCATTAGGATTCCCATAGTCCTAAGGTGCGCAAATTGGGCCGTGCGCTTGTTTGTTCATATAGATGCAATACAGACAAATGCGAATGTTTTTTGCGGCCATTTGCATCTTGATTATAGGGTATTTCCTAGTTGTGCTCTTGATTATTGTTTTTGTTGAATTTTTAGCATATTCACAAGAAGTGGAGCAAACTTTAAGCCGCCTCCACACATGCTGCTGCTTAATGGACTTTTAATGCGACGCTGGAGAGGCTTAGGCATACTCATCGTCGCCGTCATTATCATCATGATGATGATCATTAACATCATCATTGTAATCTTTAGCGTCATCGACATGAGCCGCATGTGACCCAGCTCTGACCAAAATAAACTCAAACTCCAACTGAAACTCGCTGAGTTGGCAGCTTCGAGTGCCTTTCATTCGATTTGTGTGCCACTCGCGCTCGAAAATTCTGCGTTGCTTGTGACTACTGGCAGCATAAATTCTCGTACACTTGCAGCATAAATATCCTTTAAGTGCCGGTTATCCGGTATCATCATTAACCAGCAGCCAAACGCCCGCTTTCACGCTGCTGCGCATATTTTACAAGAGTTTAGCTTGCAAACTACTCTTATATATACATATTTATTTTCCTTTTTTCTGGCATATTTTATGTAGCAGAACTCGAGCTGCAATTGGCGTTCTCCGCAATCTGTCCTCTGCCTGCTGGCTGCTCATATTTTGTGTGCCTGGAATGTCGTCGCTTTTGGTGTCTGCCCCCAAAATGGAACGCCGCGGGCTCATTGTGCTTTGCGAAATAAATTATTATTAAAAAAAAAAGGCACAAGAACAAAATAAGAGCATGTCGTTCGATAATGATGCAACATGTGGCACTTCGGTTGCGGCGCGTGCAAAAATTGCCAATTCAATAATTTTATAATTAATAAATTATGTAGGACAAGCCGCAATCAAATTGCCCATAATTTCGCACTTTAAGTATTTTTTTTTATAATATATACTTTATGAGTTAAAACAATGTATTTATCTTTCAAGTATATGTACAAAGTTGAGAGGAAAAACAAAACAGAGAAATAAATCAAATATTCTATATTAAAAAAATTGTATATTTATATTTCCCTTGCCGAAAAATAAAAATCAAACGCAAACTACTTTTACTAATTTAAAAAATCTTTGGAATAAAGAACTCGCGTATTTGTACGGAGAATGTGAAAAAAGGTTCGAAAAGATAAATAAACAAAAATTGAGATAAGCGCTCGGCCAGAACCAAGACACGTTACACAGGCTGGAATATTATTTGTAAGTGAGAAACAACCTTTAAATTGAATACTCTCCACATTAAACTGGCTTAAAAAATATATAAAACAAAGTTGTTTATTGGCATTTACATATGTGCCTTTTGCTCATTGTAGTATGAAAGAGAAAACTGGTAAAAAGGCAGAAGGAGACATCTCGAACGCAATAAAATACATACATATATTCTTTGTAATCATTATCAACAAGCACGATCAAGACGGTTCTGTCGCCCTCTGAGCAGTACCATAAACAGGTCACACTTATTTTAAATTATCGATAGCTCCTTTCGTTTCCTCGAAACTGATAAATATTATGCATTGCAGCCCTCCACACAACTGTAAAATGTATTTAATCAAATTTTTTTAATAATAATAGAACGAATTATTTATACAATTCTTTCATTCAAATTAATTTAGTTTCTTTTAAGAGATATCGCCTCTTACCCTTTTCAAAATCAGTTATTGACCTACTTAAAATATGTACCTAAAATAAACTATAAATCTCTCTAAAATCAATTAGTCAAATAGATTTATATAATTTTTATGCGTATCTTTTATGGACATGCCCCAATATTGATCTAATAACATAATATATATTAAGTCTACGCAGTATTCTCATTCGAAAACATAAATAACTTTTACTCTTATGCTAACCATAATGGAATGTAAATGTAGATAGTCTCAACTTTTTATTTTCGAAATTTCTTTGCTTTGTCCATTTGCATAGCTTAAAACAATAAAAATAGCGAAAATTTATAAACCTATAAAAACAAAAACGAATCGAAACTAAAGCGAATCTTAAAATCGATTAAAGATGTTCGCGAGTCGTGACTGAAATTTGAATTAACTATAAGACTAATTTTGCATAATCTACGCAGATCTCGAATTTTGTTAAGTTTTGTATTACCGTGCGTGACGTCACACGTTTATCTGCAGTTGAATGTAATTCGAGAGAAAAGGCACTTGTAGCACATGCTGATAAGAAAGAATGAGTTAAATCAATTACCAAATGCAATTATTGTGTTTGCATCAGCTAAAACTGGAGCATGCAACTTGTGGCAGCGATGATAAGAAGTGCCAGGCACAGCTGCAGTTGCTGCATGAAAATCCCACTGACATGCACTGTGCAGTGGGCGTGGCAGCACGGCAACAACAATAGCAACAACACGTAGATACGTACAGTACATTGAACCGGGTCAGCACAACGAAAGACTTAGGGAACAAACTGGCGGCATGCCAAACTGTAGCAGAGAGTTTAGAAAGGTTGAATGGCATTTGCCATTCACTTGGGTAGGGGGACCCAGTGGCTGTTGCCAGTGTCAGTCAGTCAGTCAGCCAGTCAATCATAAATTTGCATAAGAAGAGATCTGCATTATCTAAGCTAGACTTGCCAGTTGCCAGATGCCAGATGCATTTATCAAGGCGGCATAAACAATCAAGCAAAAGCAAAAGCATTTTAATTATTGTGTGTGACGGTACAGACAAACAAATCATGCAGATGCTTGCGTAGCCAGCACAGTCTTTGATTCTCTGGTCTCTGACTGATGTGCTGCATTTGATAACTGCCAGCAATGAAGACTGGGACCCTTAGATAATGAAAAGGAAGCAAGTCTCGGAGTAATTCAAATTTGTAGCACTCGCAAGCCGCTGGGCAAAGAAAAGTCTGAAGCAGCCACAAATCTAAATGCTGAGATCTGCTGCAGTAGCTGCTGCTCCTGAGCCAACTGGCAACATCTTCTTCCTCAATGACATTAATTCATTTTGTATGCAAAGCAATCAGTGACAGTAGCCGTGGCCTCTCTGGCTCCAACTGCAACTCTGACTTTAGCTTGGACTCTTGGCAATTAGAAAAGAGTTGGAAAATTGTATGCGAGCGTAGTCGTTGTCTGTCTGGTTTTCTGGTTCTGCAGCTTTTCCAAACTGGCACTGCGCACTGATTTGCATTGCACGATTCTCAACTTAATTTAACATAAAGTAAACAAGCGCAGTTAACAAGCCAAATACAAGCCATGAGCGTGCGGGTGCCAGTTTGTGACTCCAGCTCTAACTTCAACACCACTTCGAGTTCCATGTCCAGGTCCAGCATCTAACCAAGGGCCATACATGCATAAGCCCTGCGTCCGACTATCGTGTGACGTGTTGTGAAAATTCTAAAATATTTGAACCCAGCTCTGGGCAGCAGAAGAAGAGCTTTCTCACAAGTCAACGCCAGGCGCGAGACACTTTAACATCGAGCATCGTGAGGAGTTTATTAAAAGACACGACGAGCGCCTGCCTCAGTGCCGCCCGCCTTCCTTGGCCTGCCTGCTAGGCCTGGCTGCCTCCACTCTACGAGACCAGCAAGCAAATCCTTTGTAAGGTAATTGCTCATTTGAGTTATAAACACGCACACACAAAGCCGCCTAGCCGAGCCATGTCCCAATGTACCCATGTCGCCAGGTACCCAGCCACAGATGGCAATCGTTGTTATGGCCACGCCTGCCGCACTTCTAAAGGGCCTCTGCCTGGCAATGTTGGCCGCTTTGCATGTCTAACAATTGTTCTTCTAATTGCGTTTATGGCCAAAGGAAGCTATGGGCAGCCCAATAACATTGCCTTGTAAACGCAATCGGACAAGATAATCTCAGCTAGCGCCCAAAAAGGGCCTTTGCGTGAACGTGTGGCATGTGGCATGCATTTGGGCGCAACAAATTGCCGCTGAATTCTGATTGAGTTCTTCAAATTGGCATTGGCATTGATAGAAGTGCGTTACATATCGCATTTATGGGCCGCCCATTAACTGCTCCAGCAAATTGACAGCCACTCCAAAGGGCAATATGGCAATCAGCCACAAAGCGAGTGACCAGCAACAACAACAACAACAACAACAATAACAGCAACAAATAACAATACAATTACGCAACAACACTTCATTAAAACTAAATAAGGTGCCCACCAGATGTTGCGATAACTTGCAGTGGGTGGAGTTTGTTCAGGGTAGTTGCGACTCGGTTAGGACTTCCAGTGCTGGGTCTGACTAATAACTGAGTGCACTG